AAGCTATCAAAGCTCCGCGCAGGGAAACCACCCGGATGCGATGACATCCGACCGGCTATGCTGAAACAATGCGTGAGTGCCCTATGCGGTCCTCTGTGTAACCTGTTTCAGCACTGCTTAGACAATCACTTGCTTCCACGAGAGTAGAAACGTGCTATTCTGTCCCGCATCTCCAAAGGAGGAGACAGGCAGAACCCAAAATACTACCTTCCCATAGCCCTTCTACCAGTGGTGTCAAAAGCTGTGGAGAGCCCGGCAGACGACCATGTCAGGGAGTACTTAGAAAAGGAGGGATCACTTAGTGACGCCCAACATGGTTTCAGAAGGTGTAGGTCCCATACCTCAAACATTCTGTCAGCCGGTCACGAGTAGGCGGCGTTTCGGGACCCCCAAATTCATGTTGATGTCATTTTCCTGGATTTTGCTAAAGCCTTTGACACCGTCCCACATACCAGTCTTACTCATAAGATATCACGGTTGGGCATAAAGGGTCAAGCGGTCTCCTGGCTACAGGACCATTTAGACGACAGACAGTTCTACACAAAAGCCAACAGAGTTTGCTCGGCTTGGGGGACTTCATCATCTGGTGTATCACAAGGAGTGATTCTGGGTCAACCGCTATTCCTTCTTTTTGTGAACGACCTCCCACTGAATCTCAGCCCCTTTACGCTGATTATTTTAGTTTATGGGAGCTGTGACGTCCGAAACAGAATCAAGTGCACTGCAAAGTGATCTCAGATTACTTGCAGAGTGGGTGGCTATTAATGGGCTAGCATTTAAGCTAGATAAATGCCAAGCCATGTTTCTCCGCACTGCAGACTGTCAGAAGGTGCCCTGTTCTCTCTGTGGAACACAACTTTCCCACACCACTACGGGGAAAGACCTGGGGCTAATGCTGACTGACAAACCAGACACTGGCCCCAATTATCCAGGAGTTGCCTCCAGAGCCTACTCAGTGCTGCACTTCGCACGCAAACGACTAGGTGCCCTGACCTGTATAGGACCCCAACTAGAGGTACACAACGTCTTCCCAACACCATATCTGAGAAGAGACGTGAACCTCCTGGAGAAAGTCCAAAGGCGAGCTACAAAGGGTGTCGTGGGAATGAGGCGAAAACCTTATTAGTAAGGGCTAAAAGATCTAGGGCTCTACTCTCTAAACTACCGTAGATTACGTGGTCACTTGATAACGGCTTACAAAATACCAAGTAATCCAAGTCATCTGAACAGCGGAATCCCAGCGAACGGCCACCATGGCTATCCTCGTTGTAACCCTAGGAGAATCGCCCACCAAAGAGCGAAAGCCTGTGTGCAGTCACACTCTTTCTCTCTGAGAGTTTGTGGCCAACAGAACATAGTGCCTTCCCAGATTGCTACTGCTCCGTCTGCTGCCAGCTTCAAGAAGAGGTTGGATAGTTTCGCAGCGACGCATGGTTTGCGCTCAACCAACTGGGATGTGGACTAGGCTGACACTACCTACTAACTCGGTACGGTCAACCGTTACTGAACAGTTTTTAATACCACTATCACTGGAAAGTTGACTCAACCTTATGCCTCCCTATAGACGTCCCCTCCAGTTACCGTCTCTTACTAAAAGAATTAATAAATTCCCATTCGTCCTATCATGTCATTTATTCATCTTCCTTCTGACTTTACGTTCTCAAACTTCGACAAAAACTCTCTTTATCACCCCTTCCCCACAAATCTACCGATGTTTTTTCTCCTATGCCTTTTTCTTCTTCCTAGTCGCCTATTTCTCCCCTTTTTTCTTTTGTTTTTCTTCGCACTTCCTCTCTCTTGATTTCTCTGCACGCGTTTCACCTCCTTTTTACAACCAGCCTGACCAGTTGTCTGTTGGCACGACGATTGAGGAACCCAACTGCATCTCAGTCCTTGGAAGAAAAAACAAACAAGCAACACTCCCTGCAAGTATAACCAACACCCAACCACCCGTCGGGCTGACCAGAGATACAGCAGTCGAGTGGGTGGATCTACTGCATCGGAATCCATCAAAGACCTGAAACCGTTCCTCAGGACCTAAAAGCTAGCGCGAAAAAATCAATTGGTTTACACTAGCTGGTAAAAAGGCATTGGATACTGGAGATATTGGATTGGACTCAAGGTCTCAAGGTCGAGTAGTGACGTGTTTCGCTCGTCTCTCAGCTTTTGGATTTTTCCACAATGAAAAACTCCCACTTGCAATACTCAATCTAAAAACATCGAACGTTTGCAGCACTTCTGTCCGTCCACGCACCTCACCCCTGCGCATTCGTCAGCTCACTCCTCAACAGTTGAAAATTGGCATTATTATTCCTTTGAACCAACCGGTCTACCTCCTGTCAGTGGTTCTTGGGCGTTTCAGCTGCCAAACTGCCTTAGCTCTCGGTTCTCCTCGGAGGTCATTCCCCAGGAAATATCTTTCCTGGTTATACATACGCATCTGGAGCTTACGGTTAAACTCGTTGGTCAAGAGCAGAGGATCAAGTGACAAGTGTCTGAAGGTGAGCCAACATAAATTATCTTCCCTTTTCTATTCTGTCCTTTTCCTGCATTCAGTCTTCAACCCTCTTATTGTTGTTAACTACTTGTTTTCCCAAGAAGTTTATATCATAGCGACATGTCTGCCCAAAACGCTAGGTCTGAAGCTTTGACACGGATAACGCGGTCGTGCACAACAACGGCCAGTAACACCCTAAACAACACACTAGTCTGTACTAGAAGACAAACAGAGGTAGGGCAGAACATCGAACTTCTGAAGAAGTGGCCAACCCATGTTTCTAGAATTCCAGTAGCCATCAGACAGGTGACACAGAGTAGCACTAGCCCGTCACAAACTAGTCCTATCTTGAGCAAGGATCATACCATGCCTGAACATAGAAGACGACGTAAAAGGCTTCAGAACAAGGCAGCCACAAGCAGTTCGCCACAATCCGTAGCACCTTATTCATGGAAGGAAGGCTGTATTACGACACCCGATGGCTGCAGTGTTTGCACCAAAGTTGTTTCGGTAGTCGATGAGGCATTTGCATGCAACCTGTGTCAACGATGGGTGCATTGCCACTGCGATACCAAAGTCCCCCGACAATACTATAAGCTGATGAAGAGACAACCATGCAAGTGGTTCTGGTACATCTGTCCAGAGTGCAGGAAAATGCCCGCACTCCGCACAGAAAGCCTGAAGGAGATGCTCTCCGCCACGCAAAAGCTACCAGCATCCTCGAATAAGTAGGGTTAACACCAAAGGATAACACAGAGAGACCTGGAAACAGACCTAGAGCTCCAGCTGTGGGCACGCCATCTCGCGTGGGGACCATATTAGGTCAAGTCTCCATACCCCCACCCGGCCCCAGGGGACGTCAAGCGCATGGCCAAAGACATCGACCGCCGAAGCCTCTACGAAACCCATTCCGAACACCCCACACACCGTGACTGAGAAACAACCAGTGGAATTACTCAAACCCATTGGAAGTCGGGCGTGCCACCCACAACGAACCCAGGTCACAGGAGGACCAACTCGATCATTTTGTTCAACGTCGATGTATCGACAGACTCATTGTTGGTCGAGAGGGAACAATTTGACAGCCGAATGTGGACCGACTACTGTCAGATGCTGGGACTCCCTCCCCTCCCTGCAACTTTGTGTCGCCTTTCTCGAGGAAGCCATGCACCCCGAGATAAGCCACCCCCTTTACGTGTGTCCCTAAATACCGCCAAAGAGGCTGAAGACACACTCCTCCTCTCGCGACAACCGGACGTTGTTAATGCCTGTAAAATTCGGGCCAGGCCTGACAAGCCATGGTCAGTAAGAGAGGAGGAGAGAAAGTCAGCGGTTGGAAATCCCAACAGAAACAACACTATAGTTGTACATGGGATTCCAGAATTGCCAAGTGACAGCTCGGTCAAAGATCGGTACTTTCACGACGTCCAACAATGGCAATGGCTCTCAACCAAAGTTGGTCTCAACAGTATACCGGCCAACAGCGTCAGTAGACTGCCAAGGCCAGCGCACCTGAAGACCATACCCAATCCCAGACTACTTGCCGTCCAGTTCGACTCATATGCCTCCCTCACAGACGTTCTGCACGCATGGTATAATGCGAAAGATCGCATGGGTGGCTCAATACGTATATGTGAAAGTAAGCCTAGACCCACAAGGCAAGAGGAGAGACGGCAACCACCAAGACCTCTGGAGTCAGTGGTCGTCACACAGGCGCTGACCAGTGAGTTAGATACATCAAGTAAAGAAGCCACCACTGCTACAGCCCCCACCCAAGTTAAGAACAAAACAAAAAAACGGAACAATGCCAGTCCTATGAGGACTGGCGAGGCTAAATTCAACCACGTAAGCGCTCATCCCGCGAAAATACACATCCAGACCTCCCCTCTCATCAGGTACACTCTAATATGTATGTACAGCAACGTTAGGGGGCTAATAGGGAAGGTAGCAAAAATGAGGACGCTGCGTGAACATCAGCACTACGACATCATATTCATCACCGAATCCTGGCTCTCATCGGACATCTCCGACGAAGAGATGCGTGTTGCTGGCATGGAACTCTTCCGCAGGGACAGGGAACATAGAGCAGGAGGGGGAGTGGCTATCTACGCAAACTCCTGTTTAAAGGCAAGGATGGTTAGCGATACGGCCTTAACCCAGCTCCCAGAGTCTCTATGGTGCTACTTCACTCTCTTCTTTATTCTCTCTTCATTCCTTTACCACTACCTTACTATTCTCTTCCAGGTACCTACACAGACAGGAGTCATGGCAGTTCTCTAAACTTCCCAGCAACCCGTAGCTCCCTAATCACTCTACAAATTACAACCTACTAACCCACAAAACATCCACCTCACCGAAGCTAAAAGCAAGAAAGCAGAGGGTATTTCCTCGTCCACTGCAGGAGTAAACCGAACAACTGGAACCAAGCCCTAAGAACTAGACGCGAGAGATCAAAAACTACTAGTTTTCTACGCTCGCACTATCAATATTGGATATTGGATATTGGACGCAATGCGCGGTGTTCCTGAAAACATGCGTTACGATGTCTGAAGGGTAGTTTTGCGTTTGTATTTATACTGAAAACACCGTATATAGCGTGAATACTCATGGCTATTTCGCATTTATTCATAATTTTCGGAACAAAATCATTGGTCTACTTATGTAGCCGGCACGTTTTGAGATATCGCAGTCCATGTCCAACTTTTTAGTGATTATTGAGATCTTTTTGATTAATTTTAGCTCAAGATGTCGCTGATTGACTAAAGCATCTTGATTTCAACCGATTGGCCTAGATGTAAAACAGCATTCGCCGTTGAAACTAGGCTGTATAATGTGTGAATACATTCAGTTATAAGGATAGTAGGCCAATTGGCCTGTGTTAATCCTTACAAAAGAAATCTCGTTATTAAGGATATGGAACGCTAATATGAGACCATCCCGTTTCCTACGGTAAGACAGTGAAAATAAGCTTGGCTGATCTCATAAGGCAGATTCGAAAGGCCTACCACAAGCTTAGTACCTGTCCTTTGAACATCACGTTATTGTGTGACTTGTAGACTAGCAGGCAGATATCTGTTCCGGATCGGATTGCTGCGCGCATATATACATATATAATGACGTAAGAATCGGTCCAATAATGTATTGATCACACTTCTCATCAACACATGAACGAAAACGTCAGCAAGGGATAAGACATCAAAGTGAAAATAAGATTACCATCCTTAGGTAGATGTCAAACCCTTTGAATAAATTCGCAAAATAGTTTCAGGATTTGCACATAGGTACCCGTCTCATCTACTGCGAAATGAACAGTCATAGTATCGACACTAATCGGTCTTCAGTGGAAAGCATAATAGACTGTTAGCCTATTTTAATCCCTGCGAAATTTATCACTACGACGGTCCAGTTCTTCCTGGAATGCGGTGACCAAATGGACTACCATCATTCGTTTCGGTGACAAATTATAGTCATTGACCACACTGTGGAACAACCGGCGCTCCACTCGAATATGATTCGTCCGTGGCTTTAGAACCTTTTTTGATATCCCCGAAGGTGACCCGTCATAAAGGAAATGAAGAAACTGGATAAATCAATACCTAAGTCATCACTGAGAATTCGAAAGGCTAAAACCAGGTGGTTACTTTTCCACGATAGGATGAAGGAAAATGGTTCAGACTTTCTAATTGCTCTTCTTAAGGAGGGTAGGCAGTATCTGTCAACGCTTAGGACCCATTCTAGTGTGTCGGGTTCTTTCTTGAAGCATGAACTACGTGCATGGATGCAGTACTTTAAATGAGATCCAACGCAAGTGGGGCACAAGATCCTGAACATCTCCGCAAAGGATTTGAATACTCTACGAAGCCAGCAAAGCATGGGAAAAGCTTTAGCTGCATAAGCATTAAAATTAGCAGTCGTTTTCAAGTTGTGATTTACAATACCTTCTGAATTTTTTGTTTGTTTTAAAACCAAGTTTACTAGTTGACCATCCAGAAAAGTCATTCCTAATGACCATTACCTCACTTTTGCTGCAATCGATTTCCAGGCTCCATCGTTTGGACCACTCACCGGTTTCGTCATTGTCAGCTTGGAGTGAAAAACTATCATCATTGTGGATGGTCCGCCATAACTCGATGCCACCAGCAAACAGCAGTGATAACCTGAGCATCTTTTGTATTTCGTTGACATAAAGAAGGGAGAGAAGTGGTCTAAGGATTGTTCCCCGGGTAACCGATTGTGACAAGTTGACACATATTCTCCACTGACCTTTTTTCTTTGTCTTCTCTTTTGTAAATATTCCCTGGTCCAAGTATGAACCACACTGTCAATACCAAATGTACAAAGTTTCTCCAATAACACTGTCAAAACCTTGCTAAACTCAGTAAGAACCACATCCATAGGGAGTTTATTGTTACTTTCTTTAACCTAGTCCTCCCTCACCCAGGGTAAGCTTATTAAACAAGAACGTCCAACCCATAAGGTATGCTTCTGATGTGTCGGTAGGTTATGCTTTTCGAGTAATTGAGTATCTTATCACGTATTATCTCCACTATCTAAGCAGCCGAAGGACTGTCTCCGTGATTTTACTATGTTACTTTAGAGGAATAGTCGAAACACTATCAGTGTTCAGAATCACATCAGAATTGTCCGCCGAAAACGCTTTTAAAATAGATTAGCTATCTGCCTCTATCAGGTCTGATTCTTCTACATCTTTCGCCTCCCCATATGCTAACAGAACTGGGATCCTATCACGTCTAGTCCTCCTCTCAATATAAAAAACAAGCATTTTGGACATTTCAAAGAGTCGTTCACTAACGACCCTTCGTGTGCAGTTTGACGTACATTGAGTGAGAGGTTGAGTAAGGCGTAAGAGGCTGAATATGAGTATCAAGAGGTAAAGGCAAATAGGGAGATAGGGTTGAGGAGGATAGGTTGTGTTTGATTGGGTCTTGGGCACTACTAGAAGCGTGTGGGCTGTTGACACTTCCCGGCTGCCCACACCGTGGAAGGTTAGTTCTTCTTGAAGTACCTGAAAGAAGTATGTGACTGCAGAGCCCATGGGACATCTACTCAGGGTGGGTCACACATGGCCTTCCAGTAATTTTTAGATTTTATTTTTTGCTTTTGAATCTGACTATGAATCACTATCCCAAAAATCGGGATGCTACGAGTGGTTAGGATGAGTTATTCTTGTGGCCGACCCTTTATAACCCTTCTAGTTAAGAAGGTAGCATCAGCGTGACACTGCTGGTTATCCAAGGGAAACATCTTACTTCTGTCACCCCATCCAGCTAGCAGCAGTACGATTTCGCCCTCAGACCCCCACCATAGTGTAGTAATTTATACCATAGCGCTAACTGCTTTGCGTCTTACCACCCTCCAACAGACCCTTTTGGTATGGTAGAACCTCAAGAGAATAAGAGCTCCACCAGGATAGCCCAAGATATCTTGGACATTTACTCCCCGTGCTGAGTCACCCCTAACCACGACGTGCCATTGTACAGAAAGCTGGATTAGATTGAGAAGAGGTTTAGGGTGGCCAGATCAATATGTGGCACCAGTCCATGAAGTCTCTTACTATTGGTTTGAGTCATGTGAAGAGGTGTAGACTACCTGACTGGGGTCCCAGAAACGATAGGATTCAGTGATTAAGAACTCTTGGTGACATGACTGAAAACGCGTCACAGTGGCACAGATGTATTCACTCCTTGACATCTAAAGCTTAAATATTTGCACTAACAGTTATCTTCAAAGTGTTCATTCTCTCACACAATTTCTTCTCCTTTGATATCGCTTTTTTTCTATTCACCTGTTCTTTGCATACTACTGTGAAGTGTGGCAGTTTGAGCCGATGCAATTGTGTTTGAGGTTCTACATTGATTTTGTCAGTTACTAACGCTGACTGTCGAAGCTTCTAAGCAAGTAACTACCATTTTTATTCTACTGAATTAACATTAAGGAAATACTTCAATGTGCGTTTCCCGTTCACTCAACCTTCCTACTTTAGCGTTAAACTTATCTGATCTGGAGCAAAATTCGGTAGTTTTAGTGATAGTTCACCTTTATAGTTGTATGGATTGTCGTATATTGATTGTCGATTTTAGTAGCAAACTATAAATTCACGTTGTTGATCGTGAAGTTAGGTATCCACAGTAATTCACACTGCAGTTCTTAGAGTAACTTTTGGTTTCCAACTTAATGCTAACCACGGAATTGCAGAAGTTTACGGGGATCAATAATCGAATCTTGCCCAAACGTTGAGCCACAGCCTCGACCAGATGGGGTCAAGAGAATAACTACAGCTAGAACCCGTTAATATGTATCCTTAACATAAACACATACTCATAGCATAACCTAGAATTCCAGTTGGTAAAAGCGTTGTTCAGCTAAGTATGAAGCTTGGACATTGGAAGCCTTAATATACTGCGATGTTTTTGTGAAAAATTAACAATGATTATTAATAATAATTCACTTTATTCCAAACAATTTGCGGGAGTGGAAGTCAAGCAAACCACAAGAAAGATACTTTGGTAGTGGTATGAAAACGAGATGAAGGGCAGAGTAGTTGCTAGGGCCTAGTAGAGACTGGCGTATTGCTCAAGGTGTGTACTCCACGGACACTTTCTAGTTTACTAGAGTGATATTTTAAGTGCAGAATCTAACTGATTATACAACCCGAAAACTTACATATTGGTGGTGTCATAGTCTCTTCTGAACTACCAATTTTTCAGGAGTGTAATCAGTTAATTGTAAGGCCGTAGTCACAAAAATGGAAAGCCATAACGGATAAAATTTTTTGCTTTATGTGGCTTTTGTTGATGCTGGGATGCCCGTCTCATAGTTAAAAGGTTCATTCTATCACATCTCGATGTTGTAATTAGTGTGATTCTGGACTCACAATCACCCCAGAGCAATTATTCGCACTACATGAGTATCTGCTTTTGACTTCACTTTCCAAATAACCCTCATGGTAAGACCCCAAGTTTGGAGCGCCCAAACTGGTGTTTCTACACTTTACTAATAAGGGTATTCCAAATCAGACTCGACGTTCATCGATTCAACTGAAAACCGTCGTCCAACATGCTAATTAGTCATCATTATTATTTTATATGCAACAATCAATAGTTACTTAGTCTGAAAAATTTGGTGGAAACCATTTAAGCTTTCTAACTCAGCAAAAGCATTCAAAATCAACGGTTGAAAATTTAGAGCAAAGCGATATATTTAAAAACAATAGGGCATACCATACTTTCAATTGCAATACTACAAATATATTTTAGCATCTATATATATTGGGTTTTACTGTAATCTATGAACCACATTTATTGTCTGAAAGTTAATAATCACTAATGTTTAAGCAAGGTGTTGTGACAATAGGAGTAATTTATTAGAGCGCAAATTGCCTTGTCGATGAATTCGTGATAAACTATATTCGGAAGTGAGGTCCAACCAATAAATGCCTGATTGTAGACTTTAATGTATCTCATGTCAATTGGCAAGAGCTCACCATAAATGAGCCATACAGTTGTTTTGATAAAAGTGTGCTGTTGACTGCTCTAGAATGTGCATTTATTTAGAGTGCAAAGTGTTCTCCACGTTATGAGTTAAAGTACGAGTCAGCAGTTTTGGACCTAGTCTTCATACGTCAATGTGAGAATGAAGTGGACCTAAAATACTTACCTCCATTAGCTAACAGTAATCATGCAATTACGTTTGAGTTTATAACCCAGGAATTGATTTGTAGCACTATTCCTCCTCTCCCAAATGTTTGGTGCACGGACACTTCAGGGATTAGTAATTATGCTATTTTGACTGACTGGTCTCTTGATGCAATTTGAGAAGTTTAGGAATATACGTGATAGTGTAACATTATTACGTATTCCTTGGTCTACTCCTTGGAAACCTTATCATAGGCTACCTCAGTTCCACAAGGACTGAAAGGTTACTAAAACGAAGAAAACGCCGATGGAATGTGTTCACAACAACAAGCAATGAAGCATTTAAGATGGAATATTGTAAAGTTAGAAATAAGTCCATTATCAGTGTACATCACTGACTGGTTGACAAAATCAATGTAGAACCTCAAACACAATTGCATCGGCTCAAACTGCCACACTTCACAGTAGTATGCAAAGAACAGGTGAATAGAAAAAAAGCGATATCAAAGGAGAAGAAATTGTGTGAGAGAATGAACACTTTGAAGATAACTGTTAGTGCAAATATTTAAGCTTTAGATGTCAAGGAGTGAATACATCTGTGCCACTGTGACGCGTTTTCAGTCATGTCACCAAGAGTTCTTAATCACTGAATCCTATCGTTTCTGGGACCCCAGTCAGGTAGTCTACACCTCTTCACATGACTCAAACCAATAGTAAGAGACTTCATGGACTGGTGCCACATATTGATCTGGCCACCCTAAACCTCTTCTCAATCTAATCCAGCTTTCTGTACAATGGCACGTCGTGGTTAGGGGTGACTCAGCACGGGGAGTAAATGTCCCAGCTACCTCAGCCGATGAAGGTTCATAACTTCATCAGTCGACCTGCCTGTTTTGCCGAGTACTCTTCACCTAACTTCAGCATTCTTCGCATGATTATTCCACCAGCGTTAGTATGCATTATGTAAGGACTATGAAAAAGTCGTACCTAAGTTGATAGTGAGACTTATAGGGACTACCTACTTTCATCAATTTATTCACCCTTATCGAGTTCACTCAACTCGGAGACTAATATATTACTTGTAAATCCCCTAAACAATATAGCATATAGTGGTGTAATCTTTTGATAAGTGAAATGTGATAAAATGCGGCAGTGTGCAGGCTTTCCGCGTAAGTACACATACTTTCAGTTTGTTTTAAATCTGCTGAGACTATTATTCATTGACTCCTTAAAATCAGGAAGTGGTGTGCCATAGTGCTGTAATCAATTCATTGCTTTGATAGTTCCACCAAGTTTGTTAAGTTTGTAATCGATAAAGTTTTGGCAAGAGTAAAGGCATCTTGTTAACTATCTGCTAAATTATATAATGTGCCGTCAATGAAATATTTAAGTACCTACATAAATGTAAATATACACGGTAGCATGACATTTTTCACCATCATTCACCTAAGAGAAACAGACGTTTGATTCAATGTGAGCGTAGATAATTATTCAGCTACCAATCAACTCAAAAAATGAACAGTGGCGTGGGACGATATATAAAACATTCCTGAAAGTTAGAATACATTTTTGAGCAAATAAAGTGTCAGTTGATAAAGTTGGGAATGTTCATCTAATGACATGGTTAAGATAGACAGAAAGACAACCAGATGGCACGTAACTTAAAATATGTTCTAGTAACTGCCTACTGGTAATTTTCAATGACGGTTGGAGTGGGATTAGACTGGAAATAATCTTAGATGAAGTATTTCAAGACATGGAACTAATTTAAGAGGTTTGTGAAACAGTAGAAGCTTATTTACTGGGATACGCAAAATATTAGGAATCAGCGGTTCGGAGGTAAATGAAGTAATAAAAGTATCGATTGTAGCAGTACAGATGCACTCACTGTCTGTTATCAAAGTTATGAAAACACTATAAAGTGCTAATTTGTACTTTACCTACCTAACTTTCACCTTCAAGTTTTATTTTTAACACCTTTCGTTGGTTTCCCTCCCCACCCTTTGTTTTTGAGAAATGTGACAACTAAGAGTTGTTTACCCCAGCACTAAATTCTGCGTTACTTAACTTATTAGTTAGGTTTATAACTTTTTCAAAAATTTGTTCGCTTAAGTAGTTAGCGAACTTGTTCCATCGATACCTATTAAAGTATGAAGTGATTAGATTTTGATTAGGTAAACCGTACAACTTATGAACCTTATGGGAGGGAACCACTATTTATTCGAGTACAGCTAATAAACAGCTGTGAAATTTAAATTGCACTTATTGTTTGTAGTTTTCTGACTGTAGTTGTCAGTTGTCCTCGAAATAGAACGAACGAAACGTATTCAGCCACCTTGTACAGATTCATGCAGTAAGCAATGAGCCACACCTATTGTATGAGGGCTAGTGATACTACGTGGCTGCCCAAACGTCGGTAGGTGGAGTGAGGTTTGATCGTGTGACCCACTAGCTGATAGTTATTTCCTCAAACCACTGAGCCACAACTTCACCCTCGTAATAGGAAAGTGTATGAGTTTAAAGTTACACAATAGACTGACTTTTGTAACCATACTTAGTTCTGTTGTCCCCTGACCTTGAAAGGATCTTTGTCTAAGCTTATTATTTTACTGATTTCTCACGTTTTTTCTTGTCGTTGTACCAAACAAAACGTTACGTACAAAAATGTTTCATATTGGGAATTGCAAATAGATCTGATTCCATGTATCATGTCCATACTCATTTAGTTCTTTAACGATTCCATTGATACCCCTGTATGCTGACTACTTTTCTCTCAGAGGAAACTAACTTTTCCGTTTCGATCTTTTAAAATTTAAATTTCAGTTTTAATGGGCGCAAAATACTCTAAAAAGCGCCATAAACCTCGCATAAGTAAATCTCAGATACCATGGCTTCTACGTGGAGCTATAAGAAGCAATAATGTTGGAACACTTCAATATCTTTTCAGTTATCCTAATGGTGTGGATCCAAGCATGGTCATTGATGGAGTATGCCCCCTCAATTTGGCGGTTGAGTTGGGATATTTACAAATGGTTAAGATTCTTATCAAAGCAGGTGCAGATATATACGTAGCTGATGCTCCTCGATATCCACTTCACCAGGTAAATAAAGTTATAGAGTTTTGAAATTAATGTGCACTATGGTGCAGCATCAACCTCGCCTGGTTAACTAGTTCACTAGTTACTAGCCGGTCCTAAGCCCGGGTTAAGAGAGAAGGTTGGGCATAGGGCTAGCAACCCTACCCCGTAAAATAAATCTAACCGCTGAAGAAACTTCAAAGCACAAACGATATATAAAAAATAATAACAAAATTATTCCTCACTGGAATAGGAGAGGCGAAATGACGCCAGTTGGTGAAAGCCTGCCCTCGGGAAGCCAATTGGTTGACGTATCTTCTCTCCTTCGATGAAAGCGAAAGTAAACGTGGGGACATGGAATGTCCGCACCATGTTTGAACGTAGTTGGCAAGGCAGCCCAGATTGCAAACGAGATGAGAAGGTACCACATTGAAGTGCTTGGAATCTGCGAAAGTAGATGGAATGGAAGTGGACTCTCCAAACTGTCAACTGGAGAATCAATAATCTACTCCGATATTGTCACCTAGACGACAACCACGAGCACACTAAGGGAGTGGCTATCATAATGTCCCCTTGAAGAGCATCGAAGGCCCTCATGCAGTGGGAACCAATCTCCTCCTCCAGGATCATGATAGCAAGGTTCAACTCAAAAGGAAGGAAGGTCACAATCATACAATGCTACACTATGCACCTACAAATAATGCAGACGCAGATGAAGAGAAGAAGGAGGAATTCTACAGACAACTGCAATCAACACTGAACAAGATACCACCTCAGTTGGCGATATCAAAATTCTAATGGGTGGAGTGACATAAATGCCAAACTGGGAGGGGACAACACAGGAAGAGAACTAACCATGGGTCGAGAAGCGCTCGGTGAGGTGATGAACGAGAATGGAGAATTGTTTGCAGAATTCTGTGCATTCAACGATTTGGTGATTGGAGTCAGGCAGTGTGTTCAAGCACAAGGATATCCACAAAGTGACATGGATTTCACCAGACACCAGGATACACTAAAAATCAAATCGACTTTATCTCAATATGAAGAAAGTGGAGACGCAGTCAGCCTACTTGACACAAGGTCAAGAAGAGAAGCAGATGTAGGTTTAGACATGTCACTATCTAGTGCAAGGAACCTTCCAAATCAAGTTAAAAGCCTTCAAGGAAGCTGGTGATAGACCACAGTTGAAGTACAACACTCGGAAACTGAAGGTCGAAACTACAAAGGAAATCTTCACGGCAGTCATCAAGACGAAATGGAAGATATCGAGGGACATCCGTGAAGAAACCTGTATTAATGAGCACTGGAAGTCTTTGAGAGAGAGATATGGAAAGAAACCTGCACAACAGTATTAGGAAGGAAGAAGAAAGAAGATAAGGAATGGAATGGCTCTTGATGGATACATGGAAGCTGACAGAGGAGAGGAGGATGGTGAAGCAGAAGATAAACCAGTGCAAGGATGCACAACGAAAAGAAGAACTGAGTACAATGTATAAAACACTGGACAAAGAAGTGAAGAAGAGTGCACGCAAAGACAAAAGACACTTCTACGACACACTGGCAAGTGAAGCAGAACAGGCTGCCTGCTGGTAGGAGAGACCTGACGACATTGTATCAAATAACCAGGTTGCTATCTGGGAAGAGATCAACGCAGATGAAACCAATAAAAGATGATGAAGGAAATATAATTACCACAGAAGAGAAACAAAGGAAACGATGGCCCGACCACTTCAAAAAGCTCTTGAATCGACCACCACCACAACCTGCACTTCGTCCAGAAATACCACCTGCAGCAACTGAACTATAAGTGAACACAAATCCTCCAACAAAAAAAGGAAGTCCTGAACGCCATATAGCTACTAAAATGTGGGAAAGCAGCAGGACCAGACGGAATTCCACCAGAAGCACTGAAAACAGACTCAGAGACAACAGCAGACATGCTCACACCACTATTGCAGAAGGTGTGGAAGGAAGAGAAGGTACCTGGCCATTGATTGGAAGAAGGGTTACCTTGTCAAACTCCAGAAGAAGGGAGACCTCAGTGTTTGCAAGAACTGGCGCGGAATCACTCTCCTGTCCACCCAAAGCAAGCAAAATGTTAAGTCGCATCATCCTGAAGAGAGACTAAACAATTCGCTGAATTCAAAACTATGATCAGAACAGACTGGCTGCATTCAGGAAGTACAAATCATGTGCTGACCAAATTGCAATGCTTCGCATCATCATAGAACAGAGTACAGAATGGCAGTCAACTCTCTACCTCAACTTCATTGACTTTGAAAAGGCCTTCAACAGCGTCGACTGACAAGTAATTTGGCAGTTGCTTCGAAACTACGGAATACCACAAACCTTTGTCAGCCTCATTCAGCAACTATATAAAGACTCCACATGCCAGGTAATTCACAATGGATAGCTCAGTGATGCCTTTGGAGGAAAGTGAAGACAGGAATGAAACAAGGCTGTCTACTATCACCCATGATATTCCTGATTGTGGTCGACTGGACTGGATCATGCAGCAAACAGTGGGGAGCGAGAAGAAGGGGATACGCTGGACTGCCGAAAAGAACCTAGAAGATCTGGATTTCGCCAGTGATGACTTCTGTCTAATGTCACACAAACTTGAAGATCTACAGACGAAAACTAGCAAGTTGGCAGAAGAGGCAGCGAAGACGGGACTTCAGGTGAATATAGGGAAGACAGAAGTGATAAAGATACCGCACCACCACCAACAACAACAACAAACTCCAATAACCATCAACGGGAGAAACTTAAAGGAAGTAACCTCCTTCACCTATCTAGGAAGCACTGATTCAACTACAGGCGGGACAGACGACGATGTCAAAGTCAGAATCGGAAAGGCAGCAAGACAGGCGTTCATTAGCCTGAAATCAGTGTGGAGATCTACCCACTGCACTCAGCATACGGAGCAAGATACGGACTTTCAACACCAACCCAGTCAAGTCAGTGCTTCTGTATGGTTGAGAGACTTGGAGCGTTACGAAAGGGATTTCCAATAAACTACAGACATTCATCAAAAAATGACTACGCTTGCTACTGAAGATCACATAGCCAGAAAGAATAAGCAACAAGGAACTCTGGGAACGAACCAACCAAGAGGCTATCGCTCAACAAATATGCAGAAGGAAGTGGAGATGGATGGGGCATACACTGAGAAGGCCGACTAGGGACATCACGCATCAGGCCCTAGAGTGGAACCCCAATGGGAAGCGACTAGTTGGGCGTCCGAGGCGAGGGTGACATGGAGGAGATCGTGCGAGGAGGAAATGAGAGCTTCTGGGCTGTCGTGGAGCCAGGTTGAAAAGATTGCAGAGAACAGAGTGGAATGGGGACGTGCTACTGAAGCCCTATGTTCCATTAGGAACCCAAGGGACTAATAATAATAATAATAATAATAATAATAATAATAATAATAATAATAATAATAATAATAATGGTGCAGCATCTGCTGTGCAGATAATTTTTCAGACTAAACAGTGTACATTATTTCTGTGATGAAAACAAACAAGCTGATATGTCTTGATAGTATGTGTTAAAAATTATAACTGAAAAATTTATAATGTTGATATTGTCATGTAGTTCTGACATTTTTCAATGCCTAAAAATCCCATATCAACGAACCGACAACAGTGATCTGCTGCAGTTTTGTCCCGACGGTTACTTGTGTCTGACCAGCACTAACTTTAGGCATAAAGAAAGACTCTGTCTAACATAGCGTCCGCCGACTTGAAACCAACGATGGAAACAGATAGATCCTATTGCTATAGGTCATCATTGGAAAGGATCAGCCGAGTATTGCCTCTCTTTCTGGAATACTGATTTGGATCACGTGCTAGTACGAGCTTGTGTATGTCTGCATCTTACTGGCCGCAGAAATCAGACGACAGTAAAGTTTGTCTGTGGTGGATTAGAAGATGAGAATGCCAAGTACGCATTAAAGGGAGAGTTAACTAAGCATTTATTTGAACGTGGCACCAACGCTCATCCTTAGGAAACCTGGCTTGATATGAAGTGTGATTTAGGAAAAAGGGTGAAGAAAGTCAGTAACCAACTCCCAAAGATTAGTAAACCTCAGTGCATTAACGCGACGTCATCCAAAATGATTGATGCGGGAAAACTGATTCCAGTTGGCTCTGACCACAATGAAGTGCAAAAGCAACTTAAACGCAAGCTGACCAAGAGTCTTCGCGTCGATCGCTAGCAGTGGCGGGTGACAAAAGCGAGGGAGATGGAGAAGGTATTGGCGTTGTGCAACACCTGACATCTATTTCGGGTTACTAAAGTTACCGACAAGAAGCAGATGATGGCTAGTAAAACCGTCACCGAAAAGGATAGGATGCTGATAACTTTCAACGACTGGAGACTAGGGAGTTGGGCAGAACACTTTGAAGCATAGTTCAACTGGCCTTCAACAACGCTTCAGTTGCCCAGCATAAATCTTGAGCCTGAATGGGACATAGATATCTATCCTCCAACTCTCCTTGAAGTTGAGAAGGTTGTATCTAACCCGAAACGATGCGAAGCAGAAGGACCTAACAGTTTGTCATCAGAAGGTTTCAAGGAGGGAGGTGAAAATTGCTAATTAAAGTGATGGGGGTGCTAAGTAGTGTGGGACTTGAGATAGTGCCGTCAGACTGGTGTACTTCACTGACGACCCCAGTCTACAAGAAGGAGGAGAAATCTTGTGACAACTATTGGGGAATCAGTTTATCTAATATTGTGCTCAAGATATCATATTTGTTGACTTGAAGGCAGCATGCGACTCTGTCGACCGTAAGGTGTTGTGGAAGTGTCTGACTGAAGGGAGTACCGTGCAAGTGTATGACCCTAATTCAAGCTCTCTACTCGAACTCACACAGCCTTATAAGAGCTTGTGGAGAGTTGTCATGTAAAATGATGACAACTAGTGGTGTCCACCAGGGATGTATACAGTCACCGTTCCTATTTAACTTCCTCATAGATGTACTAATTAACACAACCTTAGGTACGTCTGACTTCACATGGATTGACCCGCTCCCTGGAGGTCAGCTGGCTGACTTGGAGTATACAGATGATATTGTCCTGCTAGATGAAAATACTGACAAAATGTAAAGTCTTTAGGATGCACTGAGCAGAAGTCTGAGTGTTTGACATGGGTTTCGCTGGCACCTGTCAGATGTAAGATAATGGCCGATGACTGGTCTGTTGCAAATACTACCAGTTTAATGATAAGGAGTAAAGTGGTGGGATGTGTCGATCGCTTCATTTACTTGTGAAAATGCATCAGCCGGAACTGGCTGGTTGATGACGAAATCTCAGCTTGGATCCGGAAGGTTGGTTTGGCAATTGCGAAATTGCGTCATCTCTGGCATTGACTAGCGAGATATCCGACTATCTGTATCAGAGGACAAGTATACTGCGATACAGTTCGTTTTGTCCTGTTATACGACGGTGAGACATGGCTGTTGAAAATACAGGATGTGAAGAGACTACAGGTTTTTGACTATATGTGCCTTCATAGTATTGCTCACCTGTGTTTGAATCACCATGTGAGCAATTTTCAGGTCATTCAAAGCGTACTGGACAATATAGGCAAGTCAGTCGATTAGGTTATGAGTCTACACTGATTGAGGTGGCTGGGACATGCGTTACGCTTTCCCAGTCACCATGTGCCATATTGCAGAATACTGGCTGAAGTTGTTTGAGGCTCTGAAAAGACTAGAGGTGTTCAGACTAAAACTTGACATAAGTCTACGAATTCTGTGACTGTCGGTCTGATTCGTGCAAGATAATGTAAAGCTCTTGGTTGGAGCCTCCTTAGCAACATAAATCGGTAGCTGGAGGCTTTGTGTGATATGGCTCAATCAATCTCAATGACGCATGTGTATCGACACACTTTCTTTATCTTAATACTGGATTTCCGCAGTTTCTCTTTCCTTAATTTAGGTATCGAAATTGGGCAAATTAATCTGTTTGATGTAGCGCACAGTAATGTGCTATTACTAACTAGATAATGTTTCGAGCAGAATTTATTGCTCATAATAGTATCAAGGTTATCACACACCTTTCTGGTCTAGATTTTTATAGTTCCTACTGCTTTCCGTTCTTTGATTTAACCGAAAGTAAAGTTCCACACATCCGAAATCGGTGTTGTGTCATTTCAATTACACATGTTAGGCGCTGAATTCACCATGGACTGATATCAGTTGGAGGAATATTGGAAACCTGAAAGCACTGAAGAGCTGTTTCGTCCTAGTATGGGACTTCTCAGCAGTGTGCACCCATGGCCTCACCAGCGATCGAACCCAGGACCTTCAAGTCCCGTGGCCAGCACGTCACCATTGATTTATTGATCAACCTCTCTCTCCACTTAACTACAGTCTTCAGAGCTGTAACTCCGTTCCACTTTATTGGGTGGTTGTGCGCTATTGCTCACGTATCTATAGCTGTATTCTTCTCCAGATTACTCATCATAGTGGGGACTGTCAATCTAGACATAGTTAGGTTCCTATGTTCTGCTAATCTGACTGGTCCCATTCGGCCAGTTTGACCTGTATACGTAACCGCACAGTCATTACAAGGTATTTGGTGAATTAAATTATTCTGTCTAATTAGGTCAATATGTTCCTACTCGGTAATTCTGGGTTGTATGCTGATATTGTCTGTCGATTGATCCTATAAATTTATTTTTTATTAAGTCAGTCGTTGGTTTGTAGGAGCTCATTGATTCGAGAGTATTCTTCATTCTAGATTGACATGTGTTAGTGAACTAATGAATACTTGGGAACACTAGTCCGCTGTTTTGTCTTAGTTCATAACTTCTCAGCACTGCACACCCGCGACTCCGAAAAGTACCGAGTTCAGAACTGTCAGACCTGACGGTGAGCTAATCACCATACAGTTAGTGGGTTGGAATTCAGTAGTTCACTGTCTCTTCCTTCTGTCAATTCACGATGTAGTGTGACCATCTTTTAGTGTCATCTATGGACGTCTGTTTCACTCTCAACTTCGTTGACCTCAGTTGTCGTGACTTTTCATTAAAACTTCAGGATTCCATCTCTAAGCATATCACTGATGAGCACTAATATGACTAGTTGTGCAAATAGGATATGGCTTACAGCTTTGCTTATTTCAAAAGTAATCTTCATCAACTGAATGTCTATTTCATGCTTGTTGGCGCTTATTAGCAAAGTAGATCGAAGAATTTTTAGGCTATCATGGAGATTTGAGCTTGTTTTATTCACCTATGTGTTAATCAGAGCAAGATCACTTTGAAGAATGAATATTTGATCAGACGATAGCTAACCTGGGTGGTTCGACTGGTCGATAATTGAAGTCATTGTGGATCACTTTGCAAAGTGGATTCGTGCCTTAATGACAGTCAATTACTAGTGAATCAGGTCATAACTTTGAACCTTATTCTACTTAATTTGGGCCTAAAGACAATACTGTGAAACTTATCGAGTAAGAAATATAATTATTAGTCAGTACTTAATGCATTTATACTTTTTTATTTGGTGATTTTTATTTCGATTCTAGCTTGCAACTCGGCCTAATTGCTGCAAAACAGTTGCGTCATCTGTGATGCCGACTAGCTAGATACCCGACTATTCATCAAAGGACCAGTAAACTGCACTGCAGTCCGTTCTGTCTTGTTATACAGCTGTGAGACATGAAGCAATTGCTGTGTTTTGATTACAGATGTATTCGTAGCATTCCTTGAGTTTGGTGGAGTCACCGTCATGTGAGCAATGTTGAGCTCAGGCGTAGTTTACCAAGAAAGATAGGCAAGTCGATTGGTGAGGTTGTGAACTTTCTAGGACTAAGATGGCTTGGATGTGTGTTGCGCATGCCGACCTCGACTTACCATGCTAGAGAGAGGTGGGTTAGGTTGGAAGACGGCTCACAATGGCCAGACCAAGACGTGGCACCAGTCCATGAAGTCTCTCGCTGTTGGTCTGAGCTGTATTGGGAGGTAAGAATCAGTGGTTGAGGACTGTTGATGACATGGCTGAAAATTGGTCACAGCGGCACAAATGTATTCACTCCTTGACGTCTCCCAAAGCATTAAGCTTTATCTTCAAAGTGTTTATTCTCTCACACAACTTTATCTACTTTGATATCACTCTTATTCTGTGCACTCGTTCTTTGTATGCTACTGTGAAATGTTTCAGATTGAACCGATGCACTTATGTACGAGGTTCTATGGTGATTCTCACTGTCTATATGAATTTAGTTATGCGGTTCATTGACGTTAAAAACTCGACTGTCAACCATTCGGTCCTCGGCTGGAACCCCACGACACCTACTTCGGCCTCAGCAGTCGGGTAATAGTGTCGTAAGCCGTCACACAAAAATGGAAAGTTTCTATTATAATTTATTCACTTTAATATATAAAAAAAGTGTGTATATGTTCTACCTTTCCTTTTATTTTAGGCAAGTTTATACGGTCGTGCAGATATTGCTGAACTTCTTATCCGATCCGGTGCTTCTGTATCTGCGCTTACTGAGCGCAGACAGTCTTGTCTACACTTACTAGCGCATCAAACTGCTCAAAGATATGTGGATACAGCTAAAATCCTGTTGAAGTATCATGCCAATCCTAATACATTAGATGATGATGGCCTTGCCCCATTACATCGAGCTTCAGTTGAAATAGTTGAAGTCTTAGTTGCAGTAAGTGATGATAATAATAATAATAATAACAATTCAGCTTTTTTCATGTTAACATATCACTTTATTGTCTAATTTTCTCATGGGTCAGCATTTCACCATCAGCTCAGATGTTATATCTTTAGTTGAACTGTACAAAGAGATGCAATTTTTATGCCTTTTATTTGTATTTACGACAACTGAAAAGGGACTTGAATACTATGAGAAGCGTACAAAAGTTTGATACTTCTCAACTACCAACACCGGGGAGAACAATACGTGAGAACAAAACTCAATGAATTTTCTTGTTGATCTGAGAGTACGACCCCAAAGCCCAATAAGCAACTACTTAAGATCGATCACAGTTACTTTATTTTTATAGGTTTTTGATTTAAGTTTAATTGTTTTGACTCTGTACTTAAGATAAAAGCTTTTTTGTCATCGGCTGAAATTCGTGGGCTACGGAGGATGTAGTATTTTCATGTCTGATCTTTTCAAATCTCTACTTCTGACAAAGGAGAAATAGTATGAGCTTAGAATGCTGGTTATCCGCATAGAGCAACTTATTGCCATCAGATTTCGTCCAACTAACAGTACCGCTTCTCCCTTAGAAACTCATTAAATGGACAGTATTTTCATTTTGGAGTCAGTTAACTTCTTTTGGTTTATTTGATGTTGAGATTTTACATCCAGGTAGAAGAAACCTTTCATACTCCTAGACGAAAGGTGGTTTTTAGACTGACAATAAAACCGATTGTGTATAACAGATTTCACTGTTTGCCAGCTCTGAAACTGGTAGAAAGAAGCGGATAAGTGGCTTGCGTACGAAATAGTACTGTGAGATGAGGGATAACTGTATTGGGTTAGCACTTGTTGGTGCATTGGGACTCTGTGGGTGGGATCCGGGAGATCATGGGAATTAATGGTTTGACACAAAATCAGATATCACTCTATCGGAACCATTGACCATCATGCTGAAGTTTATTTTATTCCCTCCATTTTTGAAGAGAAACAAATACAGTTAAAGTTCTTTATAAATCATATATTTTGAAACTGACTGTCATTTTATTTTTCCATTTTTACTTCTCTTCGTTTTTTTGGCTTTACGGTGGTGTCACATGAGCTACGTAAGGTAGGGGGGACATTTCTTGGTGCCTATACCCAAATATTCACATTCCGCCAGGTTCTGTAACAGACACGCTTACCGACGGCCAACAATAACTATATTTCTCGACCTGAAAGCGGAATTTAACTCCATCCATCCATAAGTTTTATGGCAATGCCTCTCACTGAAAGGGATACCGAGTAAGTACATCACCCTATTGAAGGTTCTTTACTCGAACAACTGTGGGCCTGTTAGACCCTATAGTGAGATGTCGGGTGAGTTGTGTACGTCGAGTGGTGTCCGTCAAAGATGTCCACTCTCTCCATTCTTATTCAATTTTACCATTGATGTTCTTATAGAGGTCTCCTTGTCGTTATCTCACCACATGGGGATCGACCTGATCACAGGAGAATTTTTGGTAGACGTAGAATACGCAGATGATATAGTCCTGTTAGGTGAAGACGCTGACAAGACTCAGAGTCTTCTGGACACTTTGAGTAGGGATTTCTCGCCACCTAAGTGCAAATTGTTGCTCCATGACTAGTCTACAACGGTACCCCCAACTAACAATAGAGAGTGAAGTGGTTCAGCGTGTTGAACACTTCACTTATCTGGGAAGTCAGGTCAGCGATGGTGCATTGGTCAGTGGCCAATGAAATCTCAGCACGGATACAAAAGGTTCGGTTGACTTTTGCCAACTTACATCATCTATGGCGCCGCTGCGATATCAAATTGTCTATTAAAGGTCGAGTATACTGTGCTGCAGTCCTCTCTGTTCTACTATATGTCTGTGAAACATCGCTACTAAAGGTAGAAGACGTGAGAAGGTTTCAGGTGTTTGACCACCGTTGGCTTCATAGCATAGGTCGTGTTTCGTGGTGTCATCACGTGAGTAACTCAGAAGTCAGGCGTAGAGTTTTAGGCAGAAGTTGGTTGATGCTGTTGTGAACCTTGATCGGCTGAAATAGCTGGCTAGGACATGTGTTACGTATACCTAGGCATTGTCTGCCTCATCAAACAATGTTGGCCGAAGTATGTTCAGACTGGCAAAAGGTTTAGTGTGGCCAGGCTTAAAACATGGCACCAATACATGAAGTCATTGACTGTTTATAGAGTGATGCAGACTAGCCAGTTAGGGTCGGTAGGACAAGAGAAACCAGTGGTTGGAGACCCTAGGTGATATGGCTCTACTTCTACTTCCTTTGATCGAGTTTTCTTTCCTTCTTCATCTTCCATTTTATTGCCTTGTTACTTCATATATGTAGTGATATGAGGTGTGGCAACTTGGACCGTTACGTAGTAATGCCTGGTCCTATGTTGATCTTGATGATGATGATGATGATGCCCATGTTATATTAAGTTTGTGTTTAAAATAAATGATTAAAAGCTTTATGAAAGTTTTGTGTCTTATAGATTCCTGATTGTTTTTTTTTTAAAAAAAAGCAATATTGAACCGAAGTCTACACTTATTACTATTGTGGCATTCATTAATGTATTTCATTGCTCCACTATGTACCATGACATGTAGATCGTTTCTTCAAACAAGAAAGCGTTAATCCATTGGGTCACGTGACTAAGTTAGTTACCTATTATTCAGTGAGGTATATAACTGTCGTCAAGACTGAAATAACTCACAGTTGCCATTGTCAGAATCCTTACTTGTCACTGCCAATCATGAATTACTAAGTACCAACCTAGTGGATTTCCACTATAGGTCTAAATTCATTCACTCTGTTTATGTATTTTCAGTGATCATTGGAGTGTATGCTATTTGCCTTTTTCCTTACAAATCTGATTTCAAATTCCTGACATCAGATATACTTATGACATTTGTTTATATTATCTTCTTTATTTTTATAGCATGAAGCAACTGATGTGAATATTTGTAGTCGAGATTTGGATACACCTCTTCTGACTGCTGTAAAAGATCGTAGAGAATTGATTTTGATTGCTCTTATTCGAGGTGATCAACAATTTCGTGAACAGCATCGTAAAAATATGATCAGTCCACTTGAAAATCAGTCTAATGATGTACAATGTCGAATTATTACATCAGCTTTGCGTACACCATCTTCAAAATCATCTAATTCAGCTGCTTCTCGGTTCACATTAGCCTCTGCTACAAGTACAATTTTTCGTGGTACAGTTTCAAATGATTGTACAGTACCACGTGCTTCATCTGCCGCTTCAGTTAACATACACTCAGTATTCAGTGCAAATAATCCAAAATCACTTATCAATCGGCATATTTTAGCCTCACAACTTCTACGACCTAAACAGAACAAAATTCTAGATGAACAAGATACAGAATTGGAGTCTGATTCGAATGGGATTAATCCACGATCATGTAGTTCAAGATTAAGTGGGAAAAATCATACTTCCTTACAACCTGAATCTAATGGTGATCCTCAACTTATTGTTAAGTCAATTTATAGCGGTAGTTCTAATCTATCTAGTGTTGTTCGTAAACCAGAAAACTGTCAACGATGTCATAGTGTGGGGAATCCAAGTGGTAAGTTTCGCTTTACACAATGATTTCTTTTTATTACCACTATTAAAACACTATGGTTGTCATCTTATTTCAGCTGTTTTCTTCTATTTACTAGTTGTTATTGATCGTCGCTCAATGGATAATCCTCTGGCGTTTGAAGCGAAGGGTACTGAATTCCAAATTCAGTCGGTTAACCTCACAAATCACTGACGTGCAGGTACATCCAGTTGACAGGTCCCAAACAGGATGAAACGCGCTTCCTGCATTCTTCTGTTGGTCACCAAGATCGATCGCTAAAACAACAAGTTTAGCAGAATACAATGAATTCATTGTTCATTTCGTCACCTTCTCTTCAACTGCATACAGACTATGAATTCATAAGATAATATATATCTATATATAGAATGGGAAGTAAAATCCATAAAACTCACTTATCAGGAGGATGATAGCTCATTGATTAGAGATAGTGAAACCATTGATACAGATTAAGGAAGTTTAAGTCAAATAATTTATGATTACTAAAATTGAAGTTATCTTATATGTATATACTGGGTGATGATTGGAGGTAAAATGAAAACATGGACGGTGGCCGGATTCGAACCAGCCACCACCGGGTTACCGACCCAGTGCTCTACCAACAGATCTACGAGGTCCTACTGGCTGCCTAGTCAGAACTTCTCATCGAAATCCAAATCTAACTGAATTGGAGAAGGGAAGCATCATATTGATTATCAGTAGGTATAGCCCTGGGCTGGTAACCTGGTGGTAGGTGGTTCAAATATGGCCGCTGTCCACATTTTCATTTCACCCTCAATCATCACCCAGTATCAATACTAGTCTGGCAAACCACAGCTATCTCAGATTGTCAAAATGATTATGTTTATGTAATCACATTGTCATCCTGCTACATGTGACCAATCAAAAAATGGGATCGAAAGTACTATGTAGGCGTATAGGATGAGTTATTAGTGTAAATATAAGATCGAAATTTTTTGCTTGCATGGGTTTAAGGTTGAGCCGATTTGGATCAAGTAGTAAACTTGTGAAGATGAAATAAGAATTGATTGTCAAAGGTGGATGGAAATACGAAATTTTGGAAAGGGCTATAATTCACTTACGAGGAGGTAGAAAATGAACAAGGAGAACTACCTATGTTGTATTGCAGAGTAAACGGAAGAACAGGTGGTGGTTTGGATACTTCTGTCTACAGGAAACCGAAACATTGTAACAGGTATGTGGACTTCAGGTCATCTCATCCAATTTCAGTCAGTCAGTGAAGACAGGTGTTGTAGTCAAATGTCTAAATGATAGAGCTAGAAAACTGACTAGTCAGTGCAAGGACCTAAACAAGGGAGTGAAGCTCGCAAAAGAATCGCTAATGGTTAATAATTATCCTCCACAGTTCATGAAGAAATTCGTATGAACACACAAGAAATGAAGTAACTGCAGTAATACGAATGCAAATAATAGCGACAAAACGAGTAGAAAGGAGTTCAAAGCCTCCATTGTGTTACACTGTAATGAAGGAACATCAGAAATCTTACGTTGGATTCTCAGCGAGACTGAGGGTGGCATTTAAACCTACAAAGTCACTCAGGGATAAACTTCGTCGACTGGCTTGGGCGATCCGATATATCCAATTAAGCAAAATAATCTGGCCTACCAAATTTCATGCAATGACTGTGAGTGAGGTTAAGTACATAGATGAAACTAGCCAGTCGGAGTCAGTTAGATTATCTGAACATGGGAATTTAGGTAGATATAGAATAAGAGAATGTGATGAGATCAATAATTTGGAAGGAACTCGTCTACTGCAATGCACGGATTAACACACAACCAGACAATGAGGTGGGTGGGATGAAACCACTGTACTCATGTCCGATATAATTAGGTGGAGAGAGAGAGAGAGAGAGAGAGAGGGAGGGTGAGATTGATTACTGAATGTTTGTTCATCGAATCAACCAACACCCAACAGATGTAATAGGAATCACATAACACCTAGACGAGAGATATGCAAAATTTTACTACTGCCATTAAAATCGAAGACTATGAGGTGGTTGGTGGAACTATAAGAATCAGATGTCGAGAGTTGTGTGATTACATTGACATGATTATGAAGAGTGTTAATTTATGCTGGAAAGGTTATCAAATAAATAATATTGTATTACAGTGCGCTATGTATATGAAAAAAAAACTAATATGGAATCTGGCTAGCTTACTTCAATGGATCAGTATACAATAGGTGGTATGACTAATTTCCAGATTCTTTTCAAGTTTCATGGTTCACATTGACATTTTTCACAGTTGGATAATTTTTCCCCTGTTCAACTATGATGTTAACAAGATTTTCTTTGGGATTTAACCAGTGAAGGTGACGAGTTGCAATCCATAACATGAAAGTGTCACAAACTAACAAAGTATACAACATGAATAACTAGAAACCACCTACTTTTATCTGTGAATTTCGCCAGTGTTCTCAAAACCCGACAGGAAATGAAATTCTGTTGTCACTACAATTGGGAAAATTACCAAGTTATGAGAAATGTTAACGTCGATTAGGCAAGTTGTAAGTTATATGCAAATTGATCATTCAACCAGTCTATGAAGTTGAAATGGTAGAAAATATTTGTAGTTCAAGTGGATGGTCTTGGTTGTGTTGTGTTCTCTGAGTTGGGTTGTTTAGTCGTGGAGCTTTCATAGTGTTTCTACATACTGAAGTTAGTGCTGAAGATGTCGTCTAGAAAGACCATGAAAGCTCCACTACTAAACAACCCAGCTCAGAGAACACAACCAAGTTTCTGACCATTGGTGTAAACCGTGTAACTCTTGAAAAGTTTAATAATAATGGTAGTAATCACTTCATTCCAAACAATTTTTGGCACAATTTGAAATTCTCAGCATGATATATTGCAACAACAACAACAAAATACCTGTGTGTGTATACTCCTTTACAACATTTCGACTAGTGTTATTATAAACATTTAAGTAGTGTAAACAATATTAATAACGAGGAGATTTTACATTGTTAATTAAATTATTGGAGTGAGATTGTTAACTGTTACAAAGAGGATATGTGAGTTCTTTTCTAAAACACTTTTTTCCTCACGTAATATACGTGTTAGATAAGGTATAGTCGGATTCTTATACTTACTTGTACCAGCGTACAGTCTTATGTAGTTTCTTCTTGTCCTCCCTGAGGACATACAAGGAGTGAGCTGTGAATGAAGTGGATGCTCAGTGTCAGTTAAAATTACTGTAGCTAGTTGCTTGCTGGAATTTAAATGTCTGTCAACTACAGTGTTAATTAGTTGAACGAAAGGCACATCACACCCTACTGACGCCTTTCAAAGCCCTAGGTAACAAACTATAGTCCTTTTTCAAAAGACCAGGAAAGATCAGCAGGAAACAATAGAGAAGAATTGGTAAAATGCAGGAACTGATAAATTGTAAAAGGGGAGGTTGACTTATGCCACACAACTTCAGTTTCCTTGTGTAATATGTTAAACGAAAGAATTTTTTACAAGTCAGCAAGCTATAAGACGACCAACAAAAATCAGAAGTAAGACTTGATCCAAGATAGTTAACAATCGGTTTATTTCCTTCAGAAATACTATCAATACAACAGGAGTTATGGGAAAGTTAACTGGCATAGAAACCGTCAGGTCATCAGCATACTTAATAAAATTAGTTTCAACCGAATCAGGTAAATCATGCAAAAAGGAGAACAGAAACGGAAAAAGTACAGAAGGCTGAGGCACACCAGTTGCAGTAAGCTATGAAGTGGAGCACTTCCCTTTATAGACAGTATACTGTTTCCTTTCAGAAAAATACAAATAAAGCCACTCTGTAACCCATGGCCCAGTATAACCCATTGAAAGGTTATCCTAACACACATTATGGAGTGTACATGGAATACGCATTTTGGAGTGAATTCCAGCATTCAAAGAAATTTGATTCTTTCAGTCTCATCGAAAATCAGAAGAATCTGAGTACGTGATATGATCAACGATGAGTTGGACAAACTTCCATAAATTCTCATACAAAATGAATATCCATATAGATTTATTGAGAACTTGAAGTTAAAACAGAATACGGGGCAAATGCTCACAACTCTAAAGAAGAATTTGTTCATGAATGTTGATTTTGAAAGTAATACTGTAGCAGAGATCCTGAAGAATCGGTTATTCAAATCTCTGAAGAAGCCATTCTTCTCTGCCAAGCTACAGATTAGCTTCTCTAGTTAGTAAATGGTTTCTGGGCGTGTTAAAGATAAATTACCACTTTAAGCCACCAGAATGCTTGTCTACAAATTGACTTGCTCCGGTGGAACTAGTTGTATAGGCCGCACAAAACGCTCACTTTCCAAACGTATCTCTGAGCGCTATCCTGCATAGTTGTGAAGGGGAGGATGTAAATCAATTAGCATTTCAATTGTTGAACATTTGGTCAACTCCACCACAGTTCTCCTTCAGTGTCATCTATAGAGTCGAAGGGAACAGTTCAAAAGAGGGGTACGCTTTCGACACTTGTGCACAATAGAAACACTGGCATTTCACCAATTGCAACCTGATTTCTGAGTGTAGAAGAAGCATGTTCAATCTTTTATCCTGTCATAGTCTCAACACTTCCATACTTTTTTCCTTTCCTTGTTCGACCTCATCATAATTAATTAATTTACTATCATCACCTTCACATTATGACCCTTTTTTCTTTCTTCACCTTCATTACACATCTGTCAAATGGGCGTTCACTCAACCATTTCATATCAAACTCCTTGCCTTTCTCGTTATTCGGGTTGTCTGTCTATTAGATTATTACACAACTCCTTTCCAATCTTTATTTCACTCCCAACACAACTTGAATGATGCAACTATACCCCCGTGTTGTTCAATAATAGACTGTGATGTAAATACCATTGCACAGCTTTAGAAGATGATATCATCGAAAATGAAAGAATTTTCTTCCCTGAATTATCCCTTCTTTCCTTCATAACTACATGGGTGTCTTTCATGGTCCAATCT